CAGTAATAGATATCAATTGAGACCAGGAGAGGCTTTCAATCGTATCGCCTCTCATATAAATCGATATTATATTAGTATTTCAAAATAAATTCCACAGTACATTACCATCTAACACCTACTGATTTTGAAAATGTCTTTTGGAGTCTTAGACAGCTTTAGGTTTTAAATCACCAAGATAACCTATTAGTATAACAGACTTTCCATTATGTTTGTAAAAATGCTGATAGAAACCTGAAATTCACCTCAAGAACAAGGCATATAATTATTTACAAGAAACCATGCAGGGGGCCAGGCATTACAGATGGCTCACACCTATAATCCCAACTCTTGGGAGAAAGAGATTTGGAGTATCCTGGTTTGAGATCAGCCCAAGGAAAAAAAAATAATGAGACCCATCTCAACCAACAAATTAGGGTGTGCTAGTACTATAATCCTAGCCATGTGGGTGGCAGCGTAGATAAGGAGGGCCAAGGGGGTGGGGGTTGGATATCTGAAAAATAAAGCAGAAAAGGGCTGGGGTTGTAGCTCAAATGGTAGGAAGTCTGCCTAGCAAGTGCAACGCCCTGAGTTCAAACTCCAGTGCTTCCAAAAATAGAAACCATGACTATACCCAGTCAACAACAAATGGATGACCCAGTGGGATCTTATAGGAAATATCTCAAGACCTTCCCTGTGGGATAATAGCTTGCCTTGCTCAATCTATAGGACATACATGGGTGGCATAATCTTTTCCTGTTCCTTGTTTGCTGAGAACATGCATTTTTAAAAATAGGAATGATTAAACTTTTAGAAATCCATTTGTCTGCAGAGTCAGCCAAAAAGTCCCTCTTGAAAAGTTCTGATTCCAGCAAGTTTTGAAAACAGCCTGCCCCACCCTCAGCCCAAAGAGAAAAACAAAATTTTTAGACACTTGTTCAATGCCCTCATTTTAAAGATAAAGATACTTAAAAACAGATATGAGACACTTTTTTACATATCACTCACCCCGCTACTATTCTCTACCACTGTTCTATGAATAATGTGGGTAGTCATAGAAAAATGTTAAATGAAACTATTTTCAAGTTAATTTCTTCCTAGTGACCAAGACAGTGCTTTTGCAATATTGCTATGTTGTGTTAAAATTTTTCTGAAGTCTCAAATTCCTAATGACTGTCAAGCTGTTATTATGAACATTTAAATTATTTCTTTACTGTAACTGCTTGTGTGGGAAACTGACATTTTCCTTCATAACTTGGAATTTTTTTATACATGCACGCAGCCTAAAAATAAGAGGAAAGCACCAATATTTCTAACATATAATGAAAGCCCACTTTAAAAAACCATTTTAGATCTGTTGGGAATAATCTGAAATTAATCCTTTTACCTTTTTTAAATCAAAAATGTAGCCCATGAGGGGTTGGGGGTGCAGCTCAGTGATAGAGCACGTGCTGACCAGGTGCAAGGCTTCAATCTCCAGCATCAGATAAAAAAAAAAGAGTATTTTTAAAAAAGTGTTAATCTAGCTGGAGGTGTAGCTCAGTGGTAGAGCACTTGCTTAGCATGCATGCGCAAGGCCCTAGGTTCCATCTCTAGCACCAAAATAAGTAAATAGTCTTGTGTTCCCTGTCACTAATTTTTTTTGCATGTGTGTGTGTTATTAGGGATGGAACCCAGTGCCTCAAGCATGCTAGGCAAGCACTCTGCCAGTGAGCTATATCCCCAGCTCTGTACTATTAATTTTTTAGACTGCTTTTTTTGTGATTAGACATGTTTAAAGACTAAAAATGCATGATATAATCATCTTGAGTTTAAAGTTACTTGACTAAGTCCAAGACAATTAGCATCCTTAAACATAGTATACATATAAATAAGTGAGGTATTTGCATGTGTGCATGTACATGACTGCATATGTAGCTATCTCTGGTTTTTTTCTGTTATAGGTTCTCATTGGTTAGAGACTTGCTATTATAGTCACATGTGGAGGACATACAGCAAGCAGGCCTGCAACGAATGGGAGATGTTATCTGATGAGTCATCACTTGGATAAAAGTTAGCCCAAGGAATACTGGATTGTAACAAAAATACTGGAAATACCAGTTCTGGAAGTTGAAAATCCAATTTCAACACATAGTTCCTTTGTAAGATGTTTATTAGGCTAGGAAGAAACAGAATTTCAAAGGGTTTGGAATTGATCAAACATTTAGTTCGATTGCATTTTATTATATGCAAATATACCTCAATAAAGTTGATTTAATAAAGTCTGCAATACATAAACTGTAAAATCCCCTGTAACTGCAAAATTCCATTACCTTCCAAGATGGAGTGATTTGCCCAAGATCATAAGACTTGTCAGATTACCAGCTTTGAGTTTACTGCCATACCCAAACTACTAGGAAAAATTTAGAAATATAATGATTATATATGTATTTAATTCCAATTAATGATGCAAATACCTATATGATAGTTTGTAATTAGTTTTTTTGCCAACCATGTTTATAATTTCTCATTACATAATAAATAAAAATAATACAGAAAAATATATAATCAAATGGGAATATGGTCATATAGTCCAATACTTTTAGGTGAAAAAAGTAGGTTATATTACAGAATGATTCAGTGTTTATTAAAATGCATGTATAGAAAGAATTTTTGTATTTGTGCGGTGCTGAGGATGGAAACCAGGGCCTTGCGCATGCTAAGCAAGCACTCAACCACTGAGCTACATCCACAACCCAAGAATTTTTTTTAAGGAAAATTTTGAAGACGCTGACTAGATCTTTTTTTGGTAGTACCAGGTTTGAACTCAGGGCTTCATGCTTGTGTAGCAGGCACTCTACTACTTGAACCACCTCTCCAGTCCTTTCATACTTTTGTTCTTTTGGATATGGGGGTCTCACTTTTTACCCAGGCTGGCCTGGACATGATCCTACTACATTAAGCTTCCCACCATTGCTAGGATGATAGGCATGTACTATCATGCCTAGCTTTTTTCTTTCGAGATGTGGTCTTGCAATCTTTTTTTGCCTGGGTTGGCCTGGAACTGTGATCCTCCTGACTGCTGCCTCCTGCATAGTTGGGATGACAGACACATGCCACCACACATGGCTACTGGTTGAGATGGGGTACTGCAAACCGTTTGCCTGGCCTGGCACCTCAATCCTTTTCATCTGTTTTCCAAGTAGCCAGGATTATAGGCATGAACCACCAGTGCTCTGCTCTGACTAATTTATAAAACATCAGTTAACTCTTTAAGAAGTCATTAGTGGATAATCTGTTTTTTCTTCTTTTTGCTAGTTAGCATATCTGTATTTTTAAACTTAAAAAAGTAAACAAGTGCTAATTCTGTAATAATTATTTTTAAAGTAATTTACAAGCCAGGTATAATGGTGCCCTCCTATAATACCATCACTCAAGAGGCTGAAACAGGAGGACTGCAAGTACAAGGGCAGCATGGGCTACGTTCTAAGGCCAGCCTGGACTACATAGTAAGACCCTGCCTGAAGAAAACAAAAAAGTAAATTACAGTATCACAACTAGAGATCACAGTGACTAGAGTGGAAAAAGTTCTGTGTAAACCACAGGTTATAATCAGGAGACTCTCAGACAAGTTTAAATCAGTTTCTTGATGACAGATTTCTAGTTCCTTCTTGAAAAACCAGAGGTTCTGAGAGTACCAGGCTAGAAGATCAGCTGGCCCAGTGCAGCTGCTGTGTACTTTACATGAAACCTTCATCCTCTCATTTGCCAAAATATAAGCATTCAAGCTTTCCACCTACAGTATAAACAGTCCAGCATTATAAGCCAAAAATATTCTATAGGGGCTGAAAATGTAGCACTTGGAGATTATCTGATCTTAACTTCATTCAAATTTTTATAAGTTTACACACTTAGTGCTAGACTGAAATGACATATTATTTGAAATGTATTGGCTATCTCAAACCAGTAGAATTATGGCTGAGTTTTTTCCTTTTGTATACTTTTTATTTTTATTTTCCAGGTTTTCTAGGAAAAATTTATATCATTTACAATTAGAAAAAAAAAGGTTAACTAAACAATTGCGTTTAGCTAAAAGTTCCTACTCAATTCCTCAGTGTTCCCATAGCTGCAATTCATTAATCAATGAGAACCTATTAACAGAAAAGAGGTAACTGCTACACACACACACACACACACACACACACACACACACACACATATCTATACTATACTAACAATTTATGTTTAAACATACCATTCCCTCGGGCTTTATCACATTAACTTTAAACCCAAAGAGATCAGCTCATGAGGCTATAAACATACCCATTCATAAAAAGGCAGACTTAAAAGTAGAGAGGACATGACTTTTTTGAATTAAAAAACAACTAGCAATAAGAAACCTAAGAGAATTCATTTAAAATTAATCATACCAAGTTAGACAGACAGAATGAACTGTCAAGTGTTAAGAGAGATTGGTGTTTTCCCCTTATTTGTATGCTGTGTGCCTGTGCAAAAAATTCCAAATTCTAAGGGGGGAAAAAAAACCCATCAGGTTCTCACACAAACAGCAAGGAGAAATCATTTAAATGATCACACTGATGCACCAGACAGGCTTTAGAAACTATAAACACTGGAAAGATGGCAGAAAATTCCTTTACACAACATTCCTGATTTGGCAAAAGCCATCATCTTGTTTCACACTGAAGAAATCAATAAAAATAACTTGAAACAGTTTTCTTTCTTTGTGGGGAAAAAACAAACCTGCCATAAATTGCCAGTGTTTTTCTAATCTTCCAGGCAGCAAATAAAACTCCAAGGACTATTAGGTATGTTGAATTTCCAGGAATCAGTCAAATTCTAAAAGTTATTTCAAAGAAATCTTTGAAAAAAGAAAGTTGATTATCAACTTGGAACAAAAAGTTGCCATCGCTTTCAACCTTGAAGCTACCTACTAATATATTTATACAACAAATGATTAGTATAGTATAAACTCTACTAAAAGTCATTTGTCATTTAACCTGAAGGAAACATGGTCATGTCCTTACCTAAAGACTGGTAGAGCTCTGTCATTTTGGGATGGTCCCAGCAAGTTGTTTGGGTCTCGTGGCTAAAACACAAAATATAAAGACAGACTTTAGAATTTACAATGGGCAGAGAAGAAAAGGGGGAAAGAAGCTTACTTTTGAATCACTTGGAGCCTTTACTTCCAAGGACTTCTATAGAGTAGTGCAGACTATTTATCTTGCAAGCACAGAAACCCCGTCTTCGTTTTCAAAGGGAAAAGCAACATGAACATCATTCTGTTCTAGAATGTGTTTCTCTTTGGCACTCATAAATTGACTGCATTTCTGTTACAATAAATTGACCTTGTTATGTAGTCATTAATTGAAGATCTGGATTTCTTCATCCGTCCAGTGTGGAACATACAGAAAGGACACCGACGATTGTTATTCAACTCTATCAAAGAGATACTGGACAATAGTGTCATAACTATAAATCACCTCGCTTCTCATTTGTTTTCACCTCCCCTCTTTTCCATTACTTTTTCTTCTCCATATCCAGATCTCATATCTGTGACACCTGTATTCCATTGCAGCTTATATATATATCTTCCCTCTTTCTATTACTTTTAGAATGGCTTTTAAACGCAGTACTCTATACACCATTCCACCTCTTCCGATGTTTACTTGGGCCTGAATGAAGCATTCACAGTTCTCCATTTCTTGAAGTGTGGTTGCTGGCTATCAGCTCCTGCCGCAAAAGGAACAAAACACCTTTGTTCCTCATTCAATTACATGAATCAACCCAGAAGAGATAACTACATATACTTTTCCTTACTTTGGCTCACTACATAAATCACCATAGCATCATATTTCCAGTTTTTAGGGATTACATGACAGGGTTTAATAAAGTAAAATGCAGTTTGGAACAATATTTCAGTACTTATGTACTAAGCCTATTTAGAATCTTTTGGGGGGAAGAGTGGGAGTAAAGAGAGGAAGAATAATTTCAATTTGGGCACCTGAAGGGGACTCAAAACTAGAGGTCTCACACACACACAAAGAGTTTGGAGAAGTAACAATGTCAAATGGCCTCACCATAGGTTTTGAATTTTAGGGCTCTGTTGCCCTACTGGCTGTGAAATTTGGGGCAAGCCTCCTTACCGGGGATAGAGTTAAAATACTGACATAGAGAACTGACCAGGTACCCTTTGATGCTCAATATGTGGCCATTTTTGTTATCGTGTAACTCCCAAATTACTATGCATTTAAAAGCATATTAATTGTATTAGTTGATACATCAACTAAACCTTGTATTAGTTGATGTGGATGTAACTGCCTAAAAACACCCTTCCTACAGAACAAAACTACACTCACTGTGTATTGCCTTTATTTTAAAAAATAAGTAAAAAGGAGAGTAGTTTGATAAATCACAAATCTCATAAAGACATTTGAAAATTACCCAAACGGTACCACTTCAAAGACCACCCGTGCTATTTACCATTCAGTGATTGGTGAAAGCTACTGAAATCAATTTGCAAGAAAATGTTTACTTGGGAAGGGCTGTCTTGCTCTCTTCCAAATATGTTCATTTTTGTTTTACTTTTCCACAGAAAAAATTCACATTAGAGGAGTGCCAACAGGGGTTATCAGTTGAGGTTATGTAACTGGGTGACATGGAAGTCTTTAGAGGTTAGAGCAAGAGATGTCATCCATCCTTTAAGGGGTTTCAGGAAACCCCATGACCAAACGGGTTTATGATCTAGAGAAGGGATGGGCGAGACTGGTACTTTATATGCACAGCACAAGGAGGCTGCAGCTTGCAGCTTCATGGAAAAAGAGTGTTACTTGTTCTCAGGCGTATTTTAGCTCAGAAAGTGATTGTGCACACCAATTCCACACACAAGAGAGACCATCCTGAATTCAGGCCTCCTTCTTTTCCAAAAGCCATCCAGATGTGACCATCAGGGAGGAAGGAAGGGAGAAGAAGGGAAGAGCACCTGTGCATGTAGGCACAGGTTTGATGTGTAGAAATAATGCCCATCTCCAGGATATTTGGAGGACTACAGCATCTTCAATGGATCTGCAGAAAACTGTTAGGCTGAGATGATAAACCTGATCCAACAGGGACAGAGAACCACCCTGAAAAGCCACAATAAGGAATGGACTTCAAATCGGAAAAACATAAGAAAGAAACTTGTACCAAATGCAATTTTTTTTCCCAGTATGGGGTTTGAACTTAGGGACTCACACTTGCTAGGCAGGCACTCTACCACTTGAGCCACTCTGCCTACCCTCCAAATGCAATTCTATAAGGAGTGAGAAGCGTGAATACAATTTACAGGGCAATTCCACATAGGGAGAGTTAAGTGTAGTTTCCCATATCCAGAAAAAAACCTCATGTCTGACAACATATCTATATTGCTACCTTTCTAAGGAATTTATTCTGTAGTTTCAAATTATGATAAGGCCTTCAGAAATTATTTTTTAATCCATCAGTCCACAACAAAATTGAACTTCCCTTTCCTGGAAGATGAAATTGCCAGTCCCTATCCCATCCCTCGAGTGATAAGATACTTGTCTTTAATAGGCACTATTCTACTATTTACCTGTGATTCTGGGGCATTTGAATAACATATATTAACAAACTCCTCAAATAATTCCAAAGGTCAACCTTCTTTTACTTTCTTCCCCTCCAACAACAATCCTTTTATTTATTTATTTATTTTTAGGGTATTAAAAAAAACCACATTTTTATTAGCATATGACAGTTGTACAGGGGGTTTCTTATGACATTTCCGTACGTACGTACATGGTTCCCTGGTTTGGTTTATCCCCTCCATTAATCTCCCTCTTTTCCCATTCCCATTCTTTTTTTTTTATTCATATTTGCATACAATGTTTGGGTCATTTCTCCCCCTTCCCCCAATCCTTTTATTTTTAAGCAATACAAAGCAGCTAGAAAAACACATCTTGTTGTCAACTGAAAACCTGTACTGAAGGAAAGAAGTGAGCACAACTGGAAAGAATAAAGGATGTGACTAATCCCAAAACTAGAAAAATCATCTTTTAACCATTTAATGCCAAAAATGGTTGGCAAAATAGACGAACCAAATATTCCTTTCACCGCATGTGGGAAATTTCTACCTGTGGTGAACTGAAGCCCTATTGTGACATACTGAAGCCCCCAAATAGACAGGGAAGATGAATATGGACTGGGTAAAATGGTAAACACCAATCTGCACAACTGATTTCTATCTTATAGAACAAACTGATGCGGAGGTTGGGCTATGATCAATTCTGATTTCATAGCTGTATTTCTGACTCTGTGCTTGTCGTCATAAAACAGTACGGAATTCTCAGTAACTCTGTGATAGGCAGCTCACACTGCCTATAGACAATATGAAAAAATATGCTGTGCACTTTACTTTCCACATTGGAAACACCCTCCAATGTGTAACCAAAGGGGAAATTCTGAAACCTATTCACACAATAATGGGTACATCTTTTTCAGCCTTCCTAAGAACAATGATGTTCAACACAGATCACAAGTCTATATGTATATTAAAACAGACACTGCCTTCTTAAATAATCCTTCAAATTCTCTTCGAATCTTTAAGAAATGTTATTGATTTTGGCCCTGCTGATTCCAAAGCCTGGTATGAGATATGCTTCTCTGAACAGTCTTCAAGCTAAGATTCCCCCTCCCTTTTTTAAATGTGAACAAACCACAATAATCTTTTATCCTTTTATTTGAGACCATGGTGCAAATTAAAATATAAAATCATTGGCTATTACAAAAGACCCCAGAAACACCTACTTGTCAATAATAAGAAATTAAATCATTACTAAGCACAGGGCTGACCTAATTTCCTACCATACAATTTAAATTTTCTCTCACCTTCTTTAGTTTCAAGTAGTGTGCAAGGTTATTATAACTGCCTCAGAGCTGTTTCTGCTGTCAGTGCTGGAAAATCAAACTTATTGGAATTGCTTTTTTAGTTTCTTGAAAACAAACATTAACCACCTATAAAAAAATAACAAATATCTACTGCTCTCACTGAGGAAATGGCAGTTGCCTAATTAAAATAAGATTTCTTCTGCTACCACTACCAGTTATTTGGTACTGAAAATATTCTGAACAGTTGCTTTTTAAAAAAATATATAAATATATCTTTCCACTACTTCCCAGGGAGGAAACTAATCACTATGTAGTGATATAAAAAAGGTAGTGTTCTCTTGCGATTTGCAGAGGCTTAATTTGGCTTCATATATAATCTGGAGCCCATTGATCCATACACACAAATGATTTCCCTCTAATCTGGAGATCAGACTTTTTCTAGAGGAACCTTGGCCTTTGCCATGCTGAATTGTTGAACTTGGCTTGCATTGCTGAACACTGACTGGCAGGGTGGGGATGGGAAAATATATTTTAAAGTTTCTGCTACTGTGGGGAAGGGGCAAAGGGGGCACGGTGTCAATCTAAGCATCCAAAATCCTATTCTAGTTCCCATTTCTTGTTCTCTGGGATATTTAACATTTTATTCTGTTTGGCTCAAGCCAGGGCAAAGATGATTGCCTTGGTGGCTGTTCCAGCTGTTACTTGTTCTCCGTTCTATTTGCTTTTCAAGGTTTACCTCCTACCCACCCTCAACTTTGGCCAAAGCAATTTCACTTCAGGGTCGTGTCCAATCCAAGATCAAACAATGATGACTGAAACCAATTCCATGGTGATCAGGGGTCAAAGACCTTTCATATAACCCTGTTGTTTCATTTGCTCCTCTCGCTTCTCCACGAGCAACTGTCTTCTGCAAAGAAGCTTTGGAACAAGGAAATAAAAATATCTAGGCAAATAAGGAAAAAAAAAAGAAAAAGAAAAAGAAAGGATAATAGGGGTGATAAGGAGAGATGACAGGGATAAAGAAGCACCGGGTCCAAGAGCATATTGGTCGAACAATGCAGATTTCACTTAAAAGACTTTGGTTCCACAATTAAATCAGATGAATGGATTTTTTTTCATGGTTTTAAAGCATTTCGTAATTAATACTATGCCTCCCTCAGGCAACTAAACTACAATTTAAGGTTCAAACTTAACTTCAAATTGAACTGAGATAAGGAAAGTGCTCTGCCCTTTCCATTGCCGTGATCAGACTGGGAATGAGAAACTTTGCTTGAAGATAAGCACAGATACCTGGAGAAATAGGAGAAAAGGACACCCCCGAAAAGACTCCCCATACCCCAGAAAGCAAAAGTCCAACCAACCAACCAAACAAACAAAAAAACCCAAACCCCCAATCCTTGACGTCTAAGCTTTAACTGATTTTTCTTTCCTGATTTAAGTCTTGAGGGATGAAATGAGCACAGGCGAAAACACAGCGAGGGGAAATATCAGTTGGAATCCTCGGACGAAATCAGGCAGAAAGTTGACCTTTTGGCACTTGCAGTGCAATGGAAGGTAGTACCGCGCGCCCCCCTTCCTCCGGCGAGGTCGAACGCCGATTTAGGAACAAGCCGGTCTGGCTCGCGTCCACACCGGCAGCCCGGAAAGGAGCAAAAAGCTCCCTCGGCCCCAATCCCCGCGCGAGGAACGCGCCGTCCCCTCTGGGCACAACAAGAAATCAGCTTTTTCCCTCCGAGCCTGTCCCAAAACCCGGGAAAAGGCTGCCCGCGAGCCGGCGCCGGGGTTGAAGACCCGGGGACGCACCTGCAGCGTCGCCGCCGGGACCCGCGGGAGAGATGCCTCGACGCTGGGGTCCAGCCGCCGTGCCTGTCCAAGTTTTGGCTGCCCTGGCTCGCCCCCTGTTCGTGCCACAAGTGTACCTGGGAGGCGATCAAAGAGGGCCGGGGCAGCGATCCACTTACCCTTTGAGCTGTTCCCTCATGGCTGCAAGGGCTTCGCGGCTGGGGGCGAGTGCGAGCGGAGGAGTGAGCTTTCCAGAGCTGCCGGGCTCCCCGAAAGTGGAGCGCCGCCGCCGCCCAGGCTCGCAGCCGAAAGCACTGCGGAGGAGCGGCGCTGGCTGGCCGGGCGGGCGAGCGGGCGGGACGGCCGGGGAGGGGGCGCTGCGGGCATACGGGGCGGGGCTGGGCTGGGCTCCGCCCCCACCTAGGGACCAGGGAAACCTGGACTCCCTGGGACTAGGCAGTTGGGGCTTTCAAAACAGAAAGAAAAAAGAAAAACCGAGAGCGAGAGGAAAGGGATTTAAGGTAGACTCCGGAACCTAGAAGCCACGCACCGCTCTGCTAGCTCCCCTTTAAAACCTTTAGCAAGACTACTTGTTGCTAAAATACATGACCTAGGTGCTAATGACCTCATCCCACATAATTAATGTGTGGGCTTGGAGTTTTTCTTTTTAGAAAATGAAAGAAAAAAATCACAGGCATGATTCTCCCCCGCCCTTCCCCCTCAATTGAAGATTGAAGTGGTGGAGCAATAAATTAACGTTAAGATCCTCCTGGGTTAAACGGGATCCTTAAGAAGCGTTTTTACTTGCGATATAGAATGGGTCTCAAAACGTAGTCCCAGGACTAGCTGTTTCACAATTACCTGAGAACTTCTTAGAAATGAAAATCCCCAAAAGTCACAGTCCCGACGTACTGAATCAGAAAGTCTGGGCATAGTTTAGTTTGAAAAGCACCTTATAGACTCTCGAAATAAGACACCACTACCAATGGTGTTGGCATACTTTGGCCTTTCATTATTCTTTCAGGAAAATCTAAAAGAAACTTTTCCCCTCCCAATGAAACAGTTTATTCGAAAAGTTACTGGGCCTGGATGGTTCAATGTGTCTCACCTTAAAGTCTGTAATATGATAATACAGGTTAACTACAAACAATTATTTCAAGCTTGGAAATATTCCCAAATGAAGAAAGCTTTCATTAGGAAAAGAATTTTCCACATTCTCCACTTTATATCTTAGAGTCCAAAGAGTATCTGATGATAAACTCCCTTAGTGACCTTTCTTGTCTATTTTTTGGTTTCCTTTTTCTTTCCTTTCTTTCTTTTTTTAATCTTTCATCCATTTGCTTTTCACTCTCTTTTCTGGCTGATTCATTTCACTTCAGTCTCTGGTTTAAATGCATTCCCCTTTCTTTTTAAATATTCTTTTTTTTTTGTCTGCATTTTTTCCTAGATTGTTTAGCTGAAAGGATTGGACACATCAATCTCCTTTACCGGATGCTATAGCCCAGTAAAGAGGCAAAAATAAAGTAGGGAACAAAAGCAGAAGTCATGTCAACTTTCTTCATTACCTCTGACAAACCAGATAAAAATGTAAACATTATCACTAAAGATACATACATGTAAGTATGACTGGTGTTGCTATTTTAAAGCAAATATGAAGCTGCTTCTGGCATTTCACCTCAAAAATGGAGCCTTGTGCTGTCCTTTAGGACTTTTCAGTTACTGAGCTGTGGCAGCAGCTGCTATTACTGTCTGAGGGGGGCGCACTAGGATTCATTTTGAGTGAGGTTGTCCCTTGGTCTAAAAGTAGATTCTAGGTTTGCCCCTATCTTTATCTGGAGTAGAGGGATTAGTGTCCTGTGATGAGGAAGTAATGGCCTTTGCAGTTAACCAGTGACAGTAATCTCTATGTCAGTGTAGAATATCACTTAAATATTGTTTATCTTTACTTCAACGAAAAGCTACAAACCTCACAGCATGAACCTTTGTAAGTATTAAAACTCAATCAACTAAGGATTTGCGACACCCATGTGGTGAGACATGTTGTCATTCTCTTTCTTCCCTGTTTGTTGTTATTGTTTATTGGTTGGTTAGTTGGTTTTACATGTTTAAATTACCAACTCAAGGGCTGGGGGCATAGCCCTACATTCAAAGCCCAGTAACCATCCTCCACTATACATACCCCCAATTACCTGCTCAAGATTTAGGAGTTCTGATATGCTTCTCTAAAATATAAATGCTAACGCCTATTTTCTCAGTGTTTAATTAGAAAACTACTAAGAATGATTTGTCGAGGGGGGGAGAGGGTGAGAATGGAAAATAAGAAATCATTATTCAGATTTTTTTTAATTTGACAGATGGCAATCCTTAAAAATACATCTTTAAGTTCTTTTTTAGACTGTAGTTATAGGCACTTGAAGACTTGTTCCCAAATCTTGATGTCATTTTAGAAAATAAATACTGAAAGTATTATTAAGAAATGACATGGGCATCACACTGTTTTGTTGTCAATTTCAATCACATTGTGAATTTGGCTCATTAGGGAAAGATAGAAAAGAAGAGAATTGATATATCTTCATTTTATATGTATATTATGTAGTGATACCATAAATACATTAATTGCTTAATGATAGTAGCTGTTTTTCTTATTATATTACTTTTGGTGGTGCTGGGGATTGAACCAATGGCATCACACTTGTTAAGCAGGTGCTCTAAGAATAAGACTGAGCCATACCCCCAACCCCTCATTATCATCACCATTATTATTAATGCTATTATGAACATTTTTACTGCTTTGATATGAACCACCACGGATATGAAAAGAACCTGGAGTTCTGCCATCAGAACAAAGTTAAATTGAAATCCTGACTCCAGAACCAGAACCTACTATGAGCATGAGCTACATGTTCTCAACATCACAGCTAGAACATGGTGGCGCAAGGATTGCAACTAGGGAGTCTGGCTCTAAGGCTCATGCTCTTATATGCTGCCATGGACAGATAACGACCTCTTTTATTGTGGGAAAGGTTTCTATTTTCTCTAGTGTGTTCATAAACAATCTCATTGATGGCTAAGAGTAAAAGAGAGTAAATTTTCTGGAGACGAGTAAAAATGAATGAGCTGGGATGAGGTCAAAGAGGGTGACCCAGTAAATTTTCCTATAGACAAAACTCCAGTCTTTGAATCACTTAAACTTTGCAGGTACCTGAGAAAAATAAGAACTTCTCTGACCTAAGAGACTGTGCTGACTATTTCCCCATTCTCCCCTCCATCTCTACTCTGTCCTTCTCTACTCTGCTGTGTGCCCCTAGGAGATTGGACCTTTATGGAGGGCATCAGTCAGGCTTTCTCGCCCTTTGATTTCCTTTTGCTTTCAACCAATGGGAGGCCATGATGAAAGGCCTAGGGAAGAAGATGAAAGGGCAGAGCAGAGTGACAGCAGGGTATTTATTCCTCAGGCTCCCTCCTGCTGGCTGCTGGCCTGGCAGTGGCTGAGTTCTTAGAACAGCAGCCACAAGTTTTATTGGGCAGTCCTTTCCTACACTCCTGGAATTCTGCAGGTGCCCCAAACCATTCCTTCCCCTTGTGCCTTTGGGTAAGTATTTACCATACCTTGTCCTTGCCCTTACTTTGCTCAGACCTTTGAAAATAGCCTTTTCATTATAATGTCTTCAAGTACTCCTTTAGAAGGTACCATCTTTTTCTCCTAGAACTCCAACCAAATAGGGACATAGCCAGCCAAAGCCACCCTCTGGGACAATTGACTGGATGTTGAATGGGATCTACTGATAGATGACAGAGCCCCAGTGCTCTGCTTGGCCTTCAGAAAAAAATATCAACATAGGACTAGAGAGGAGGACAAGTTTAAAAAAAAAAGGTCTAGTATGAAAATCCAGAATTTGGCCTAAATCCTGAAAGCTTTAGGGGAATATTTTAAAGATGATGGAACTTAAGCATGAGTGTGGCTCTGCCGTATTTGTTTTTAGAAAAATCACTAGAGTTGTTGTGTGGGGGCTAGATTGAAAGAGAGTCTAGAATTATGAGACCAGGCACAAGGCGACAGCAATATGAGGAGGATCTGAACTATGGCAGTGGCAGAGGAGCATAGGATTCATAAAACAGGGTCAAAATTACAGGAGACTTGAGAGTATATGAATGGACAAGGAGAAAGACCAAGTGTCATAGTACTCAAGCTTGGCTACCCATTGGAGTCACCTGGGGAATGTTTAAAAATATTCAGATGCTTGAGTCCCACCACTCTGAGATTCTGATTTGGTCAACAATGCGCATTGGGACTTTTAAGGCTTTCTAGATCATTCTAACATCCAGTCAAAATTGAGGACCATTGTCCCAGGATGACTTCCAAAACTGGATGAGTAGCATTTAACAACGTAGGAATTTCAGGACAGGGCAGGAGTTCATGGGAAAGATAATGAATTAAATCTTGAACCTGCTGAGTTAAAGATGGTAGTGAGATGTAAAAGTGGAGGGTTCTACCCAGGAGGCAGCTGGGCATCGCAGTCTCCAGTTCATGGCGATGTCTGGATTGGCACTATGGATTGGAAATGTCAGTTAGGATCTCCTGGAGGGTGTGAAGGGCCAAGGACAGAGGCCAGCCTGCTTCTACCTTCCAAAAACACACCTTTTTTTTTTCTTTTTAGGTTGCTTATGGTTTCAAAGTTACTCCGATGTTAACAGTGTAAAAATGAGGAGCAGAATATGAAAGGAAAAAGGACAAGGAATAATTTGCACTGGGCATGGACCAGAAGATGGCCCTTAAGGGGACTACCCTCTAAGGATTCAAGAGTCCCTCTAGCTCCAAGAGTCTCTATTGTGAATTGATTTTTTTCCCTAACCAATCTTAAGAACAACCTGCATCATTTTATAAAAATCCATTCAAAATATAGGCATGGCTTCCAGTAAGTATAATACATGTTTTATAGTAAAATGTCAACATTTGGGTATCCAGTGAACACATAGGAACTCCATGTTTCTCTTTGCATTGTATAAGTACTCATCATGGACAGTGAATCAGACATCTAACAAATGTTTACAATAATGGTGAATCATTGCCAGTTAGCGCAAATACCATGGCATGCTAATTAAAATATGTATAACAATGCCTCTAGATCAATCTTAGACCAATATCTTCTGGATAAGATATGAACTCCAGCCAGTTCACATTAGCCAGCAAGCAAAGAAGCCTCTACATTCAGACACAGAGCACTTCACACCCACACAAAAGCCTATTTTTCCAGGCCCTTCCTCTGCAAAGAGGCATGGTAAGCCAGGCTGAGGAAAGTTCCCTGAGCCAGCTGCCA